GCAACGTTTTCTTTTTTAACCATATCAAAACATCTCATCAGAAAGAGGCCTGCAGTTGATTTGAGCTCTACCGTAGCAAAAACCGCCCCTGGCTGCCACCCCCCCCCGACCCAGAAATGGATTAAGGGGAAGAAAATGGATGGATACATATATTTATACAAGTTAAACCCTATTTTTAAATTTCTACAAGTGCTAATAATTAAACATTATTATTATTATTGTCATGTACAAATAAGGTATAACATGTTTTCTTTAATATTTTCAAAAAAATCTCATGAACTCTGCAGGTGTTGCTCAAAGTTACCTTTCTGTTCTAGATTTTATTCTATCAGATTATAATTTCGCATCAATGATTAACCTAATTATTCATCATTATTATTATTATTTTTCAGCTGAGACCAACACTTTTCAGACTTCTTGTGGGAAATGTCCTTAAAGTCCAGATCAAAAAACTTAACTTGATCTCTCCCCACTTCTCATCCAACACTTATACACACTTTCCCAAGCGGCAAATCTGAAAAAAAAAAAAAACATCCATGTCTCTATATCCACTCCTGATAATGAGGATTCCTTACTTGATTCACTTTGACTTGACGTCGTGCCCACCCACTCCTTCCCACACTCTGTCATTCTAAACGCTCCAATCAGAGGAGGACGGTGGCTGCTGTTTTGACTGCTCCGTGACAGGATGGCCTTGGAGATTCCCAGTTCTATAACCGGGAATTCCGATGTCCGTCCAAGAATATCCCGTTGTTGTAAAAGCAGTGTCTGGTGGAAACAGCCGTGTTTTGTGCGAGTTTTGCGTCTAGACCCGGGTAATCCTTCTACCGCTCAAGGCTGCTCCCAAAGAAGAGGGATGGATTCTGACAGGGAAAAAAACATGTATTGCTCCAGAAACTTTTATTTCTTTGCTTAGTCTGTCTGATGAATATATTTATACTGGTTTTGAAATTGGACGCGATCTATATTGACTAAAACGATGATATTGCCAATTCTGTTCTGAATATGCGTTTCTTATACCTAACTACTCCATATAATATACATATTTTTTGAAACTTTCTTTTTTGCTCAGAAGTACCACTCATGGACTTAGTTGAGCTTTAGCAACACACAGTTTTCCAGCGGATCAGATTTTCTACGCTTCGATTTGAAGTCAGTATCACCAACCTCTAATAATTTGAAGCCAAAACTGCATACAATGAAATTTGAATATAAATATAAATAAATAGATACAGTACATGTCAATTTTAGTAGATTATATCTCCTCTGGGTGTATATATATAAACATTTATAAATACTTCCTGCTGACTACAGTGTGTACTCCACTTGTGTACTATCATTGAACCAAGTGCAATTATAGCTCCAGAGTTTTATTATAACTTATTTTATTATCTTTTCCTAAATAAAAGATCCTGTTTGATGTGTGCAATCTTAGTGTTCTTATTTCCTCCTTTTATTCCGCTGTAATTCAGCCCCACTGTGGGACAAAGTCTGAATCAGATGAAATCATTTGGTGCCTAAACTGTAGATGTTACCTACAGTACTGTATTTACACAGTATGTTTTATGCCAGGCCTCTGTCACATCTTTAGATCAGCTTTTTTCAGATTTTTTGACAGAAAAGTGAAAAAGAGAGGACCACCCTCACTCAGCCCACAGCATCAAATAGTGACTCACAAGGCTAAGTATGCAAACAAACAATGAAAACTATTCAAGACAGCATATTTCGGTCTGATTTGTTCGCAACCTTTTACTTTTCTAAATGTACTAAATATATGATCAGAAACGATAACACAACACCATGGTTTCAGATATCAGTGCGGATATTGGAAATATGATATTAGAATGAAGCTGAAACCCTGATTCAGTTGACAACACAACTGTTTATTGACTGATGTGAACCCAGAATGTGATAGATGAGGGGTCTACTGTAGCTCGGGGGGTGCAGTAGCTTGCTAGCTACCTCCTTCCAGTTATAGCTCCCCTCAGACTCAGGTCTTTAACATATGATCATGAATGAATCAAGTTTGCGTCATTACATACATGTCTAGTTTAAAAAAGGGTTTACAAATCTTGTTTTAAGACTGAATGAAATGTCCTGAAATAAAATATATATATATATACATAAATACCACTAGTTTCAAGCATGTTTTGCAGAGGAGTAGCTCATTTCTGTTGTGCAAAAGTGGCTCTCCTACCAAAAAAGGTTGGAGACATCTGCCATAGAGCTTTAACTTTTGCTGAAACAAAAGTCTGCACTTATTGGCACATTAATAAAACACCACCGGACACATTCTGTAGCAATTTAGCTGTATCCAGGCCCTTTTCTTGTATCACTCCATATCAGATATTGGCAGATTTATCGAGATTGGTTCTGCATATAAAAAAGCTGGATCAGTGAAACACAGAAAGGCTCATTCTGACACTATGTATGTGTGTGTGTGTGTGAGAGTGTGTGTGTGTGTGTGTGTGTGTGTGTGTGTGATTGTCTTTGTCCCATCTTAGACCCCCACCCTTCTCTTCGTGTCCGAGCCTGCTCCAGTCCTGGTCTCTGCTGACTGGACGTTTCTGTAGGACATTTGAACAAAAGCACTGTAGTGTGTGATGAAGGCTCTTTCAGCAGCTCCAGGTCACGGCATGTTCTCACCCCCTGAAGTGTTCGCCTGTTTTCTGATGTCAGACAGAGCTCTGGCAGAGACACACACAAAGCCAGGTCGAAAATCTGTCATGTAGGTTTAGGGCAAGGTTATCTGTCTTTTTTGTCCTTTCCTAAATAAATCTTGAGGTTTGTCCAAATGGTAAGAGTCTTGTAAAAGTTAAATGTTTTGCACAAATCAGACTTTTTATTATTAGAAAACATGTTATCTTTTGCATGCTTTTAAGAAAGGTTCTTGTGAGTCACTACTTGATGCTTTGATTGGCTAACAGTATCAATTATTTACACAGCAGATTCATACTCGGCAATGTGGGTCTTGCCAAAGGACTAAACAACAATTAGGCACTTTACAGCCACCCCACAGTGTTCCCAGAGGTCTCTCATCACAGTACTAATCAGGCCCTGCCCTGCTTAGCTTCATAGGTTCGTAAAGATCTCGATTTCGCCTGCAGGTGGCGCCACACAATACAGTTTTATCATGTGTTAATTGCCCAACTCGAGTCGAACATTGAGACTCAGCCCTGGCTAAAATGTGTTACTGATTAATTGTAATCGATTGCTAAGTGAGTAAGTAATCTTTATTTACAGTATATAGCGCCTTTCACAGACGAGAGTAACAAAGCTTTTTTTGATTGTTGTTTTTTTGGGGGGGGGGGGCTTCTGTGTCTCACTCAGCACAGAGATGGGAGCGGGGATGCCATACAGGAGCGCTGGCCTATTGTACATGTTTTTAGTAGTAGGGGAAACCGGAGCACCTGGAGGAAACCAACACATACACAGGGAGAACATGCAAACTCCACTCAGAAAGTCCCTGGAAGTGGAATCAAACCCAGGACCTTCTTGCTGTGATATTCAAATGTTGAAAATATGTGCAATGTGGTCGGCCGTTGAGCTGACCTGAGGTGGCAGTCTGGACCCTGACCGTTACCTCTGTCCTGGAGCGTCCCGGGGCACGCTGTGGGCGGGGTCCAGGCTCCATTGTGCGGGGGATTAGTGCGCGCAGCAGACTGGACAGGGGGCTGACTCTGCTGATCCACACCTCCGCTGTGTCTCGGCTGGACAGGCAGGCCCCCGTAGAGGCCGCTGCTGACCGCCACTTGACCCCTGCTGTGGGCACAAGCTCACTTTAAAGACACATTATGCAACACTGTTCTAGGGTTGTACCGAAGAACACCATCAAATACTGATCTATTCTGCATTTCTGCACTTTTATTGTATCTTATATCTTGTGTTTCTGTGTTTTTATGTATCCCCACCGGTGCTCCATCTGCAAAGGAAGCTCCATTGAATTGTTAACAAATCACAATGACTGCAATTAATACAACCTCCAAACTGAAGTGGCTGAGTGGAGGTCCTGGGTTCGAATCCCGGTCGGACCAGGGCCTTTCTGAGTGGAGTTTGCATGTTCTCCCCGTGTCTGCCTCCGTGTACTCCGGTTTCTCCTACCACTAAAAACATAACAATTCAACAATAGTTCTAGCATGCTCCTCCTGTACTGGCGACCCCGCTCCCATCTCTGTGTGGAGTGAGAGACAAATGCCCAAAAATAACAATTGTAAAACCGCTTTGTGACTCTGGTCTGTGAAAGGCGGTATATAAATAAAGATTACTTACTTATTTACTTACTTACAAAGAAAAAAGGGTACTAAAGATAACTACTTGAATTTGGGAATATTTTGTTAAAGCCTCAGAACTAGTGTCTTTGGTCTTGTTGTCGGCAGAAGCTTTTCTTTCTCATATTTTCTCAAAATTTACACAATGCAAAACTGTCAAAATGTCTTACACAACTCAGAAATGACCATACAGTTTTTTGTGAGAAGATAAAAAATGACATATTAAACACTATTATATACTTTTTGTAGGTTTGCACTCATCCAACAATAAATATATCAGAATAGAAACAACAAAATATAGAAACGGTTTCAACTTTTGCATTTTGTCATGTTGAGACCAAAAATAAAGATTTGGCTGTGGATATTTTAGTGAAAGACCTCAACAAAGTTAAAGACAACTTGAAGTGAAAGCAAAAAGGTACATGATTGAAACCAAAATATATCCTTTTAGCCAAAATCCAAAACCTTTTTTACTGTATAGCTCAAAATGCTTAAATGAGGGGGCAGCATGTTTGAAGCTGCCTTTCTTCAGCAGGGACAGGCAACATGATTCCCATTGATTCTTGAAATGTTTTGTATGAATCAATGGGAAAAACTCTATGGATGTGAAAATGTTCTCATACCCCAAAATACATGTGAGCAGGCAAATGCATTACATATTTTTTTAAAGAAACATACACCACCTCCTCCGTATTAGCAGTGTGTGTACTTCCATGTGTTGTGTGTTGCCAGGCGACATGGTGCAGGTGGTCCCAGAGCAGGGCGCCAGCGAGGGGCCCGTCCTCACTAAGCCCAGCAAGCAGGCCCAATGGCTGGGTCCCAAGGAGAGTGCAGTAAGGCAGCACCGGCAGGAGCTCAAGACCAAGATGAAGAGCAACAAAGTGGAGGAGGTGAAGGCTGCGCGTCCCAGACAGGTACGATCAGGAAAGACTCTTCTGGAACACTTTAGTTTAGGGGAACAATAACTACACATTCTGTTCAGCTGCTTATCTGATCGTTACTAACTATTCTTTAAAACTGCACGTCACGTTTTATGAGTATGGTGCAGTGGGGGCAGGTCCTGACTCAAAAGTGGCCAAAATGACGTGCGCTGACATGCTTGCAATACCACCCCGGGCCTGTGGGGGTGGACCCGGAATAAGAATTAGCCAATGCTAACATATAGCGTTGGCAGACCTCTCAAAAACGTCTTTACAGGATGGTCCAAAAGTTGGCTCTTGACCCAAAGCTCCGTTCCACATGTGTCAATGCTGAGGGGGGTGAATTTTTTGGTCCACTCTAGTTTACTCGCTGTGAATTTTTGAAGTCTCTCGTTCAAATGAATGGAGCTCTCGCAGCTGACGCTTGCGCAGATGCGTTTTTTCACAATTTTCTTGTGGGCGGGACCACTCGCGGCCATTTTGGATAGCTCCAGTAGAGCACAATTTTTGGCCCATTTGTTGGAACGGCAAAGATAGACGTGACTACGTCCGTTAATATATACAGTCTATGGTATGGTGTTAGCACTTAATCCAATATTAATAACAATAATTATGGTTTGGTAATGAGGATGGTTACAGGAGGATTACTAACACACAATAATGAGAGCTCATTCTTATATGACAAGTGCTATTTAAATTAGACTGAATATGTAGCCCATTCTAAAGTGATGTTTTGAATTGAATTAAATATTTCCTTGCATTAGTAATGAATAGCTGTCAGTAAATGTTCTGCAGTGCTTAAAAGATTAATCCAGACATTCCACCTGTTGTTGCAATAGCACAGCTCTGCCTCCTTCTGGATATCTTGACAAATGACAACTTGACAAATTACTATATTTATATATGCATTTATCTCAATCTCCATAAAAAAATAAGTTATTAAAGCAGTATCTCCAGTAAGAGTTTCATTGTCAGACTGTAGTAAGAGTGCTGTTCCACTGTCAGACTGTAGTAGGAGCACTGTTACACTGTCAGCCTGTAGTAGGAGCACTGTTACACTGTCAGACTGTAGTAGGAGCACTGTTACACTGTCAGCCTGTAGAAGGAGCACTGTTACACTGTCAGACTGTAGTAGGAGCACTGTTCCACTGTCAGACTGTAGTAGGAGCACTGTTACACTGTCAGCCTGTAGTAGGAGCACTGTTACACTGTCAGCCTGTAGAAGGAGCACTGTTACACTGTCAGACTGTAGTAGGAGCACTGTTACACTGTCAGCCTGTAGAAGGAGCACTGTTACACTGTCAGACTGTAGAAGGAGCACTGTTACACTGTCAGACTGTAGAAGGAGCACTGTTACACTGTCAGACTGTAGTAGGAGCACTGTTACACTGTCAGCCTGTAGAAGGAGCACTGTTACACTGTCAGACTGTAGAAGGAGCACTGTTACACTGTCAGACTGTAGTAGGAGCACTGTTACACTGTCAGACTGTAGTAGGAGCACTGTTACACTGTCAGCCTGTAGAAGGAGCACTGTTACACTGTCAGACTGTAGAAGGAGCACTGTTACACTGTCAGACTGTAGTAGGAGCACTGTTACACTGTCAGCCTGTAGAAGGAGCACTGTTACACTGTCAGACTGTAGAAGGAGCACTGTTACACTGTCAGACTGTAGAAGGAGCACTGTTACACTGTCAGACTGTAGTAGGAGCACTGTTACACTGTCAGACTGTAGAAGGAGCACTGTTACACTGTCAGACTGTAGAAGGAGCACTGTTACACTGTCAGACTGTAGAAGGAGCACTGTTACACTGTAAGACTGTAGAAGGAGCACTGTTACACTGTCAGACTGTAGTAGGAGCACTGTTACACTGTCAGACTGTAGTAGGAGCACTGTTACACTGTCAGCCTGTAGAAGGAGCACTGTTACACTGTCAGACTGTAGAAGGAGCACTGTTACACTGTCAGACTGTAGAAGGAGCACTGTTACACTGTCAGACTGTAGTAGGAGCACTGTTACACTGTCAGACTGTAGAAGGAGCACTGTTACACTGTCAGACTGTAGAAGGAGCACTGTTACACTGTCAGACTGTAGTAGGAGCACTGTTACACTGTCAGACTGTAGTAGGAGCACTGTTACACTGTCAGACTGTAGAAGGAGCACTGTTACACTGTAAGACTGTAGTAGGAGCACTGTTACACTGTCAGACTGTAGAAGGAGCACTGTTACACTGTCAGACTGTAGTAGGAGCACTGTTACACTGTCAGACTGTAGTAGGAGCACTGTTACACTGTAAGACTGTAGTAGGAGCACTGTTACACTGTAAGACTGTAGTAGGAGCACTGTTACACTGTCAGACTGTAGAAGGAGCACTGTTACACTGTAAGACTGTAGAAGGAGCACTGTTACACTGTCAGACTGTAGAAGGAGCACTGTTCCACTGTCAGACTGTAGAAGGAGCACTGTTCCACTGTCAGACTGTAGAAAGAGCACTGTTCCACTGTCAGACTGTAGAAAGAGCACTGTTACACTGTCAGACTGCTGTAAGAGTACTGTTACACCTTTTTGGGATTAAAAATAATTCTGCAGATGTTTTAACTTATACTTAATTGAAACTGAGTGCATCTGTGACATGCTAGCGTCATATGAACCAACGCAGAGCACAGGGACTTGTCTTCTGCTGATGCTCAGAGTCAGGGCTAAACATGGGGAGAAAGCATTTCAGATTTATGCAGCTAATATCAGGAACAGTCTTCCAGAAAACGCTAGATAGGTTTCTACTCTGACAGAGTTCAAATCCCAGGTTAAAAACACTTCAGTTTAGCTGTGCATACAACTGAAGGATTATCTCTTCACTCTTTTGAATGTAATCTGAATATCTATCTATTGTCTTGTATGATTGACTGTTAAGCACTTTGAGTTGTGTATATAAACTGCCGTGTGTATATACTGCCATGCCTTACCTTGACTGAGTCTCTTCCGCAGACGCAGTGCCAGCAGGAGTTGGACCAGGTTCTGGAGAGGATTTCCAAGATGCCGTTCAGGGACAACCGCGGCCCTCTGGAGGATCTGTATGCCCTGCACATCCCCAACTGTGACAAAAGGGGGCACTACAACATCAAACAGGTACTGCATACACCATGGTATTCTACTACTACTGCATCCTCATTCTGGAAAAATACTATGAGCAGTATTATTAGGCACTGCATGTCAAAATACGTCTCAATGTGGCATAGGAGGCCACAGTTTTATTTACCAAAGTAGCAACCGCAGTAGTAGTACTAGTAGTGATAGTATTTGTAGCAGTAGTGGCAGTAGTAGTACATGGACTTATTAAGTAGTGCTACTATTAATGCAGGAGTATTTAAGATTTGCAGATCCTACTACTACTACTACTACTACTGCTACTGCTACTAATACTACTACTACTACCACTACTACATGATACTAATTTATGCAGTAATTGTTGAACCAATCAAAACTAACGGTTCCTTTTATAAAGTAGTTGCAGTATTTCTTCACTCCTTTGATTGATGTGTCCTGCTCAAGGGCATCAGAGCAGAATGTAATAATAACCACATACAAATACAACCCCCAGTACTACTACTCCTACTGCTATTACTACTACTACAACTACTACAAATACAATCACTACTACTAGTTCTACTACAAATACAGCCACTACTACTACTACTACAAACACAACCACTACTACTACTACTACTACTACTACAACCACTACTACTACTACTAATACTACATGTACTACAACAGCCTCTATCTGACCGACTATCTTGTAATACTACCTCACCCTAACTGTTACTATGCTACCACAAAAAAATGTAATTACTACTACGACTACTAGATGGGCTACTACTGCAATAATTACACAACCACTACCAGTACTACCACTACTTTACCAGCAGTTACCTCACCCCAACTGCTGCTCCCCCACCACCATCGCCGCAGACTGTGACTACTTGTGTTTCAGTGTAAGATGTCCCTCCACGGCCAGCGGGGGGAGTGTTGGTGCGTGAACCCCCATACTGGACGTCCCATCGCAGCCGCCCCCACCGTCAGAGGGGACCCCAACTGTCGGCAGTACTTCAGCGAGCAGGACCTGGAGCTGCCCGAGCCGGAGCACATATGAGCGTGACGCAGAGATGGCCGTGCTTTGAAACCACGTCCTGGAATTAGACTTTAGGAAGCATGAAGACGAGGGCTTTCAATTCGGGTCTGAAATTGGATGGAAGGAGGATCAAGGCAAATAAAAACATATTGACATAGCAAATAATCACTCTTAAATCAGCAATTCTGAAATTCTGTTCACAATTATGACGTTTCTAAACAATTTTGACATAATTAAATACAAAGTGTGGGCTGCAAATTTGTCATTTCTGTGGCAGCAATTATTTAAAGAGCGACTAAACACTTGTGCCCAGCCTTACTCCGCCCACATGAACATTTGAAAAGCTTCTTTTAAAAGGGCGTTGCCTGGAGGACCAAGGGGCAAGAAGGGGGGCTTAGAGTTGGGCGTGGTCTAGGCTGTGATTGACAGCTCACTTGTCTCACTAAAAAAAACAGACAGTTGTCATTGCTGCTTAAAGCAATAGTTTACAGACCAGAAAGTCTCATTCCACCCTTGTTTACACACTAAGATAATTGTAAAGCTACACACCTGAACCTAATCACACTCAATAATCTCAGAATTACTCATGTAATTTAATTTTAATCCACTAGATGGCGCCAGAATACTCCAAACTGCAGCTGGGGCGTGTGTGAGAGTTGAATGGGTTCACATCACTGGCTCTGACAGACTGACGTCACACAAAACAACTGATGTCATAGAGAACTTCAGAGTCAATGGAGAGGCCAGAACCAAATTCAAATGTAGTACCACCAAAAAGGTTGAGAGGGCGCCACACAGACGTTTTTATGCTCAAAAGTGATATTTTATCTAATTTGAACTAAAATGTTCAAATGTGTAAGGGGCGACAGTAGCTCAGTTGGTAGAGCATTGGCCTTAAGCCCAGAAGGTTGTGGGTTCAATTCCCACCTCTGCACCTTCTCCACCGACTCCCACTGATGACTGCTGTCGTTGTGTCCTTGGGCAAGACACTTAACCCCACTTTGCCCAAAGCCCCCACTGAAAGATCAAGGCTATGCTCACACTCAGAGAGCAGCCGTCCTCCTGTGGACTCACCACCTGCAGAGGGTCAGTGAGGGGCTGGTGCTATGAGACTTGGGTGGCATCTCTGATTGCCACCCCCCTGACCCAGAAATGGATTAAAGGGTAGAAAATGGATGGATGGATGAACTAAAATGTCAAAAAAATGACCAGGATATGTAGAGAGCACTACAATAAACATACTTATGCAGTTTATGAGTTGAAAAAAGTTGATTTGGTGTTTAGTCGCTCTTTAAGTTTGAGGGTTGACTGAAATGAAGATTTTCCAAAATAACATATTTCTTAAGCTCGATCTTAAAGCTGGGGTTCCCAACAACTTTCAAACCACAACTATGGAACTCTAATAAAACCGTTCCTCTAAAAGTGTGTCTGTCACTAGTGTTCATGAATGGCCTCAGTCACGTCTTTAGATCAGCTTTTACAGAAAAGTAAACAGAGGAGCACCCTCGCCTCAGATTTTAGCCCAAAGCATCGTATAGTGACTGACAGGGCTCATTCTTACAGCTATGCAAAAGATAACATGTTTTCTAATGAGACAACAGCGTTTTGTGGTTTTGAACATTTGACTTATACAAAATTCTTACTGTTGGGACAATAAACAAGTGTTATTGTGAAACTAAAAGATAGGCTCCCCAGCTTTAAACACAAAAGCATTTGAAAATTCTCATGGAATTAAGTTTTTTACAATCACAAGTTTGTGTTTGCAACCGGTAGTGTTCAAATCTGGGGAAAAAAAGAAGAAATTATTAAAATGAATTCTGCCTGCATAGGGAGTTACAGGCTGAGAGCAATATTAAATATTGATACTTTTTCACCTTATTTTCTACTGAAGATATTATTAATTATTCTATAACATTACAAGGTGAATGTAGTAAAAGTAAATACTCTCAATATTTGTTTTACTATCCAAAAATAATGTTTTGTTGTCGTTGTTGTAAAGTTGTTTCTCAGGCTTTACTTCAATTCACTTCAATTTCAAATAAATTGGATTTTTGCATAGCCCTAAATCACAACACCAGTTATCTCGGAGGACTGTCAATTTTGCCAGCACAAATCAGAGAATAAAACACAGAAAATGCAATGATAACAAACACATAGAATCATTGGTCCATAAGAGGCAGATGACCAATTCCCACAAATGCCCTGGATCATCACTAGTGTCCATAGACCCTCCTGCATCGGTCAGAGACAGGACTGAGGCTGTAAGACGAGGACCGAGGCCACACGGTGCAGGACTCAGACGGCTCTGCGTGCTTTGTTAAGGCTCATTCAGGCGCAGTTAAGAAGTGTAACCATCTTGTCAAACCAAAACATCTGAGTAAGCTATTTTCCTCTCCTCATGTTTGTACCAGCACTAAACCATAGAGCATAGTTCTAGATTTTGTAAGAAAACCATTTGTTCAAAATAATTTTACTTGATGATGTATGACGCCGATAGCAAACATGTCTGGTGCTAGAGTAGGTGTGACTACATGTGAATTTAACACATTGCAAAATACTAGAATGTCGTGAGTTGAAATAACACCATTAAAATCGTTCGCACAAATGTTACCGTGTCCTGAATTTCGTCAAAAAAGTACTGTATTATTTGCAGTAGTGGGAGTGATACTAGGAGCAGCAGAAAATTTATTGCTAGAGCAAGAATAACCAAAGTAGATTCTGCAACGTTACAACATTACTTGCCACATGTGGGCAGTAGATAGTATTGATAATAATAATAATAATAATAATAATAATGCATCAGTTTTATATAGCGCTTTTTTGGACACTCAAAGACGCTTTACATGTCATTATTCTTTCACTCCAAAGACAGTGGTGATAAACTACTACTGTAGCCACAGCTGCCCTGGGGCACACTGACAGAAGCGAAGCAACCAGTATGTGCCATCGGCCCCTCCGACCACCACCAATCATTCACACACACACACCAGACTCATTCTAGGCAATGGGGGTAAAGTGTCTTGCCTAAGGATACAACAGCAGTTTGGCACTTTACAGCCGCAGCCGCCCCACTGTGGCACCTGCTGTTCCCAGAGGTTAAGTGTCTTACCAAGGACACAACGACAGCAGACAGTGGGAGTCGATGGTGAAGGTCGAACCCACGACCCTTGATAGTAGCAGCAGTAACATACAGTCTGTGCATCAAGCAGAAATGTGGATTTTTGACAGGAGGCGGCAGTTTAAAACATATTTACAGTGGACAATGTGTCAAAAATGTCGTGAAAAACCTATTAGTATTAGTAGTCGTAGTAATACTAGAAGTGGCAGTGGCCGTAGTAGCAACAGCAGCAGTATTAGTAGTAGTAGCACTAGCAGCAGTAACAGCAGTAGTAGTAGTCGTAGTAGTAGCAGCAGCAGCAGCAGTAACAGTAGTAGTAGTAGTAGTAGCAGCAGCAGTAACAGCAGTAGTAGTAGTCGTAGTAGTAGCAGCAGCAGCAGCAGTAACAGTAGTAGTAGTAGTAGTAGCAGCAGCAGTAACAGCAGTAGTAGTAGTCGTAGTAGTAGCAGCAGCAGCAGCAGTAACAGTAGTAGTAGTAGTAGCAGCAGCAGTAACAGTAGTAGTAGTAGTAGTCGTAGTAGTAGCAGCAGCAGCAGCAGTAACAGTAGTAGTAGTCGTAGTAGCAGCAGCAGCAGCAGTAACAGTAGTAGTAGTCATAGTAGCAGCAGCAGCAGCAGTAACAGTAGTAGTAGTAGTAGTAGTAGCAGTAGCAGTAACAGTAGTAGTAGTCATAGTAGTAGCAGCAGCAGCAGCAGTAACAGTAGTAGTAGTAGTAGTCATAGTAGTAGCAGCAGCAGCAGCAGTAACAGTAGTAGTAGCAGCAGTAACAGTAGTAGTAGCAGCAGTAACAGTAGTAGCAGCAGCAGTAACAGTAACAGTAGTGATATGTGACTCAGACATACAGATAGAGGGTACATGAACTTTATTTAAATAGTACTTTGCTATTACAAAAAGTACATCAACATCACTCCTGATAAATATTTCACCATTACGTTCACATTTTTGTTATCTTGCCTTTGTTTACATGTGCTACCAACAAGAAAAAAACAAAAAAAAACAGGCCAGTTCAGCCATGTCGGAATAATTCATTGCCATAAAGTGTCAAAGATATGAATCCTGTCGTACAATACCATCTCTGCAGCAGCACTTTGAGTGAGAAAACCTGCCACCATTTGCTTGTACCCATAACGCAAATATATTCAAAGCAGGGCCAGGGAAGAAGGCACTTGGATTTCCATACAAACTCAGCGACCTGGCTGCGGACAGAGGAAGAGGAGGAGGCAGGAGATGAGCGCATTTGCCTGGGATGAAGAAGCAGAAAGACCCCCCATCGGCACACAGCAGCCTTTTGCATACCATTTGGGTACGGGAAGGTAGAAAGCACGTCCAAAAGCATGCATACCATAACTGTACATGCACTCACAGAGGGGGAGATCAGGAGAATTATTTCTGCAAGCTTCAAGAAATCCTTAATCTCCGGTGTTTGATTGTAATGCCATGTTGCAGGTGTATCATGGTTTCTGATATGATACCTGCCTGTAACCATGGCGATGACAGGACCTTGCCTAGAATGTTCCAAATCGTGGCATTACTCAATATTTTGGATGTTTTAAAGGGACCGTATACGCAAAATGAACTCATAGTGGTCTAATAAAGTCATTACGATTACAATCCAAATTACGTTGCCAAATTCTTACATTTCTCCATTGTGAGATCAATAAAGTTTAAATTAGCTTAGCCAGGCTACGACGCATGTTTCTTAAGCACTCCTTACAGATGTGACGAGTGTAATAATGTAATCCACCTGCTGGGGTTTAGCTAGAATCAGTACAAACTGTATATCATATTTGACTACTGATTTTTGTACCTGCTTTCATTCAAACAACAATCTAGTGCTATTTTTTGTTTCATAAGAACAAAAAAAAAAAAAGAGCCAAAACCAGCTACATCTGACCTAACATACTGGCAACAAAAATGAAACTCATTCTGCTTTCTGACTGGATAATCTGCTCAGAAATCATGAACATAAATAACTATTAACACATATTATTTGAGAAGTCCACCCGTTAAAACGTTTGACCCTATTATCTGGGGACTCTCTATAGGGCCCCTTTAAATTATACCTTTTATTTTTGTTTGTTGAGCAGTAACGTGGGGGAAAAGCCTCTCCAGATACAGGCCACATTTCAGGCAAAGCACCGCCATCTCCATTGGGATAAGCAGTGCTGGATTCTACATAAAAAAGTCACATATCAATCCTTAAGATAACAATTTTGTACTTTAACAATTATTTAATAGGGCCAGTGCATGATATAGCAAAGACGCTAGGAACGTCTTAGATCCATTCCATCCAATTGTTTTTAATTTATGAACATTTTGATGGAAATTTGTCAACAATTGGCACGTCATACAGTCGCTAAGTCAACCACACGTGCTGAGGAAAGAGCGTAACTTTCTAGATAAGATAAGCTTCCGACTTTGGCACTGGGTATTGGAAAAGATGAAACTCGCGAATAGCTTTTGTCGTCGTACAATAACGGAGCCACATGTAAAAATGTCTTGTCATAAAGTTCAAGACATCTCAGCGTTTTTCAACATGGTACAAATATAGATTTCTTTGCATGATGGATATAAAGATGAGGTGGATATTGTACAAAGGGCTAAATGCAGCTAGCCCCGGTTAGCGCCATGTCAGTCCGCACACCTCACATACAACATACGCGCATACATATATAGTGTGTCTCTCCTGATTGGTGGAAGTGTGTTAGCTTGATTGGCAGGTTGGCATGACAACGGCCCTGCGTGTCGTCACTCGTTGATGCTGGTATTGTCCAGGTCTTTGCACTGCAGGTCGCCGCCCGCGTAGTTTATCCCCGGGATTTTAACGCCGAACTTGTCCACGCACCAGCAGATGCCACGTTTACGGCCGCGGGAAGGCTTGCACTGGGGAGAAACGAGAAGCAAACGTGAATAAAAGACTCATAAAAAACCTTTGGGATATGGCTTAAGGGTAAAAACAAACTGTGTGCTATCAAAATAAGTTTTTGCGTTTTTGTAATCATTGTGATAAAGATAGAGATTTTATATTTGTTTCATTTTCATGCAAGAGATTTTATTTTATTTAGTATAGAGTTATTGTTTATTTATATTGTGCTGTGTGCTCCTCATTCCTACTGTTCTGTAACTGGTGATGCAACACTGACATTTCCCCACCGTGGGACAAATAAGGATCTCTTAATCTTAATCTATATTCACCAAGATTATAATGGTGTATAACAGAGGATTTTTTTTTTTATGTTTTTAAATTACCTGTTTGATTTTAATGTGTGATTGAAATGGGCTGTGGATTATTCTACAAGTAAAGGTTTGATTGATTGATTGAAGGAAAGAGCGGTGCGTGCAACAGCCCAAACTTAATGTGGGTTTAAACTGCTAGCAAACATGCTTTCTTCATAAATAGTACTCCAAAGAAGGAACCTTATAAAAAGCAAAACTGTGCAGAGGAAGCGGACCACGACAGGCTGGCTTGGTCTCGATGTAGTGCACTTAGTCTCATTATGCAAAGTGTGGTCCCTGGCGTGACTTGTGTGTAGTTTCATACCCTTCTGCACCTGACCCACATGCACGCGACAGCCACAAAGCAGTTTGCTTTTATTGCTATATCTAGTCGGAGCGCTCACACTAAACTTGACACACCTCTGCAAAGTGTCATGGATGGAGCACATACTGTACATCAGAATTTTCTCAAAGATATGAAATAGATGAATTGGTTGATTTTGGGGCGACAGTGGCTCAGTTGGTAGATCATTGGCCTTAGGGCCTGAAGGTCATGGGTTCAAGCCCACCTCAAGACCTACTTTACGACCCCCACTGATGTCTGCTGTCGTTGAGTCCTTGGGCAAGACACTTAACCCCACTTTGCCTGAAGCCCTCGCTGAATAATCAGGGCTCCTGTGGACTCACCACCTGCAGGAGGGTGAGGGGCTGGTGCTCTGTGTACTGGGTGCAGCTCTGACTGCCACCCCCCCAACTCAGAAATGGATTAAGGGGAAGCAAATGGATGGATGGGTTGATTTTGTTCTTTTACTCTTCGTTTTTCCAAAAATTATACATTAACTTTGCTATGACGTCGTTCTCATTTATAATGACTTAAACACTAATACATAAGAAAAACTATAATGTACACATTAAACATTTTCATTAATGTTTCGCTCCACTGTAGATTCATACTCATAGCATGCTAGCTATTGTACAAATGATGAACTATTAGGATGCTAGGATTATTTCATTAGAATGCTTCTTTTATTTTGTAATATTTGAGTCTTTTAGGAACATCTATAGGTCACGGTTATCGTTGTTGTTTTTTGTTTACTAAATTATCTTGTTGGCCTAATGCAGATGTGTCAAACCGCTCCTCAATGAGTACATGAGTCGGTGTGGTTGCCGGTTTTCATTTCAATAAAGCCAGATCAAAGTAGACTGCACCCATTTCCTAAAGTGAGTCCAGTTCTAACCTGAAAACTTTCTGGAACCAGCTTTTGGGCTTGATATGCTTAATTTTGCTTAATATGATGGTAGAATTTGAGGTTTTTTCAACATAGCCCAAAACATTGTCCTATTTTTCCCGCCGCATTTAAACTACATCAAAACTGACACAAAATACACATTTAGTGGATGTTTCTCATTTGCATTGTCTTTCTACTTTGCATTAACCTGACTTGTTATTTCTGTATTTGCAGTGAATGACAAGTGTAGTTAGATGTACCTGTTTGCGTTTGAAAAATCCCTTCTTGTCACAGTTGGGCAGATAAAGGGAGAGCGCGAAAACCCGAGATGCATCCTTCATGCTCTGGATCAGGTGGTCCAGCCTCCTCCTGCAGGGCCCCTGAGACAAAAAAAGCACTTGTATAAAGATTCATTCCTGTTTGTTTCATTAAAACGTCTGACAATGTTCAAATCCAGGTTAAAGACAATCCTGTTTGCCAGTGCAGACAACTGAAGGATTTTTATTAATGCGCTGGGTCTTCTTTCAATCCTATGTGTGTTCTTATGGTATTGTAATATTTTCATGTGTTTGTTCTATGTGATGATTGATGCCTCGTGTGATGTGGACTGTGAAGCTCTTTGTGTTCCCCTGCGTAGAAAAGGCGCTCTACAAATAAAGATTGATTGATTGTTAAACTTGCAAAGACTGAGGTGCACTGAATCAAATGTTGTGACTTTTTTACTACCCATTCTATTTCTATTTGATTGACCTTCAAGATGAATCTGCAATTACATCATCTGTGAGCTAACAGTAAACAGTCCTGATGAGCTTTAAAGAAGACCTATTAAACTCAGCACCTGCAGGAGGATCAGTGAGGGGCTGGTGCTATGTGTACTGGGTGCAGCTCTGACTGTCACCCCCCTGACCCAGAAATGGATTAAGGGGAAGAAAATGGATGGATGGATGGATATTACAACATGGTTCACTCCGCACACACAGACCTGCAGTTGTTTTTTAGATCCATTCATACTAACATCAGTCACTTCTAGCACAAACATGTTACCCTTCGGTCTAAAAGCTCCTACCTCAGTCCATGATGTCATTGTATCACTGTGACATCATGCTGGGAGCAGTTTTCTGCAATTCAAAAGTATTGCCCATAAATCAGTTTGGCTTTTTAAAGTGAAATTAAGTTATTTTCCTTCACATGTCTGTGTTTGCTGTTGGTAATTTTCCAATTTGAACAAAAAACCTAAAAGAGTTCTACACCTCCTGACGGTGGTAGCATAGTGTGAGGGCAGGCCCATAGTTTCACCATGGTTCTACTGATGATATCATTTCACATTCTAAAACATGACAGGACAAAGTAGAAAAAACATGTATATAGTTGAATAATTATTCTTAATAGTAAATCAAATGTAGAAAACTGCAATTCCCATGGCTTCCAACAGGAGTGCTAACATGAGGTCCTTTTGAGAGAGTATGCGATATACACTTTGGTCAGACACGAAAGGCTGGAAGGTAGATAAGATAATAAATAAACACATATATAAAGACATGGTACCATTGGCAAACTTTTCTCACACATGTATCTGTGAGTCCTGAGATCTTGTTTTCTCTGGTTCTCCATAAAAGTATTGCTACTCACAAACTCTGGGTCGGTCTTGCTTATCCCAAGCATGGGCTGGTCCATGTGGCTGGCTTGACCCAAGCGGGCCAACTGCTTCCGGCGGTCGTTGGCCTGCTTCATGGCCTGGGCTTTGCGGCTGCTAATGTGGTCCAGTCCATATAAGGGCACCTTGGCGATGGAGGGCACGCTCTCGGGCACGGTCATCCGGGCGTCCAGAGAGTCTGTGGAGAAGTCCAAACGAGTAAGTACTCCGGCTAACTTTATGGACTATGCAAGAAAACATTCAATCAAAGTCATTCTCGTCATAAAATGAAAATAGAGATCTCTTAATACATACAAGCAGTAAAGTCATATCTGCTATATTTAAATGTGGCTATTATTGCTCGTATTTCTCCTTTTATGTCCATGGCACTGTACTTGACTGCTGAAATAACATATCAGCAGCGAGCGCAAGAATGTGTCCTCAAAATGCCCCACGTCTGAAGCCTGGTCACAAATGCTTTGGCAGAGGACTCTGGACAATTCTTACGTGGGAACGGAGAAAGATGGTGGTAGAAATAAGCAATTGGACGACTACTGAATAAATCTGTTTTCTAATTAGTCAGTTGAACAACATTGCAGCCCCATAATTATAGTGTTTTTGGCGTTGTTTACTGCCCTTTCCCATAGGCACAACTGTAGATGAACTGGTCAGGGGTTGGGCTCAAACTGCAAGAGTTTTGCTTTTAAATTCATGATTTCTACAAGTTTTTCCCATAATACAGCTATTGTAAACACATTTTTTCCTTGACAATGATTATGTATCACTTAAAACTTTGAGATATAATAAAAATAACTACTACTTATTGCCTCAGGATTATGAAGCAAGTTGTCTGCTGCTTCTATCCCTCTAGCATTTCTTGAACCCATACAGTGTGCTTGAAAGTTCACAGGCCCAGGAATAGATAGAAACAGGAGTCTTTTTGACGAGGAGAATGAATGGGCAGCTTCAACATCAGAGAAGGTTAATGTTAGCGTTAACATAAAAACATGCATTATCGTTCAGTTTTTCTGAAATATGGCAACACACTTTCAATCTTTCAAGAAAAGTGCATGGGAACATCCTCCATGGGGTTAGATCTTTATGAAGGCATTCTGAAGTTGGGTTTGTGGAGCAAACTGGAGTACTTTTTGCACATTTATTTCAATGTGGTTTTACTGCAGATGGCAAATAAACTGAATCAAAGTTCACTCTTACATCTCCACAAGTTTTAGATCGCACGACTTTTAGAGAGGCAGAGTTATTGCACTGGCTCCCTGGTTCAATTCAGAATTCAGATTAGATTTTAATATGCTGCTGTTTGTTTATAAAGCGTTGCATGTAGTGGACTCAGCGCATTGCAGACTGAGGATCCTCATCCAAATGTACACTGAGGTCCGAGGACCAGCTTCAGCTTATGGTTCCAGGAAGAGAATCAGAGAACAAAGCTGTGGAACGTTTAAGTAATTTTAGAGCTCTTTTTAATGCGTTTTCTATATATATACAGTATACATATATAGGCATCTGGCTTTTCCTTTTCGGGTTTATTTTTTTGAGCTCCTGTAATAGAATGACGTGAATATCTAAACTGCTCAAAAAATAAATCAATAAATAAATAAAAAAGATTAAATCTCCATCTTTGCAGAGAGATTGCAGAAAGTTGAACGCAGACCTCAGAAAAATGAAAGCGTCTAACCAGAAGTTCCATTAAGCCGACCGCTGCGCCGTCGCATTACAACTGTCGCCTCTGTCATATCGAGTCATGCTAAATTTAAAAACGCAAGCTTCCACTCAGCAGGGGTGTTGAGATGTCACAAATCCACGGCCGGCGCTAAAAGCTTGGCCCTGCCCCTGCACTGGCCCCGCTCCAGCTTCAAATGGGACGTGTTGACATCCGGTACAACAAGGCTACATTTATGGCCACTCGGGTTGCCAGTTTTAGAGTAAATGCGGCGTTTAGAAGAGCATGACCTAAATGAGGTATTTAGTCTCGGCCTGGCACCCCAGTCTGTGAAACCATACGATTACACTTGTCATGTGGAGAGCTACGGGAATAAGCAGGCGTGTTAGCATCCATCATCAAAACGCAAATATGGTCCATGCTCTCCCAGACTACAACTGTCACTGCCAAAACTTATGCAAATTCAAACTTACTAAAGGATATTTTCAACTCTGGAATATAAATACAGAGATATTAAAGCAGAGGTTTCTAACTTTTGTGTTCATGAATAATACATTTTATTTGTCCCAACAGACAGTCGTGTGAGGACCACAACATGCTGTGAGTCACTGTGTTTTTAAATGTAGTCTAAAGACACATTTTTACGCCGTAGATTTTAACACGAACTGAGTTTTACTTTCTGTATTTTATGCTGTTTGTTAATCTTTCGTGTCTGTGAAGCACTTTGGGCAGCTGGCGTTGTTGTACATGTGCTACACAAATAAAGCTGACATTAACATTGACTAATTGACTCTTTGGGCTGAGAACTGATTGAGGGTGGTCCTCTTTTCTCACTCTTCTGTCTGAAAAGGCTGATGTGAGAAGACAAAGAAACATGCATGTGAAAAAAGGGACAGAACCCATGAATCCATTGCATTACAGATTTACATTTTGTGTAGGGTCAAAGTTGGGTACCCCAGTTTTAATCTCTTGCGCTTTGTGAATTTTTTTAAAATTTTTGCACACATATTTCAATGTGATTCTAACTGCAAATGGAAAATAAACGGAATCTGAAGCATTTATCCAGTATTTGAATATGCACTTGACATAGGGGAGGCCACAGAACCAAGCTACAGATTAGATCTATGGAGAGGCAATCCCACTCATTGTAAGATATGCAGAAAACTATATGACTGTAATGTACACAATCAAACATAAAACAGAGAACAGAAATATGGGGTAATGGAAACAAAACATTCTATGCTGCAAGCTTTAAACTTTTACACCTCTTGTATTATTATTTTCAAGATAGAGATTTTATACTTGTTATTGATGCTAGAGTTAGAGATTTTGTTTTATTTTCATTAGTATAGCTATTGTTCACATTACTTGTGCGGTGTGCTCCTACTGTTCTATAACTTGTGATGCAACACTGAAATTTCCCCACTGTGGGACGAATAAAGAATCTCTTAATCTTCAAATTCTAATCCCCAAATATGCATGAATCAATTAAAAGGTAGACTGTGTAAAATGTCAACAATGACTTTTATAAGCTCATGCCTGAAGCTCAAGTGCCTGTCAAGAGTCAAATTCTCTGAGGGATAAACTGGTTGCCACAAAAACCTTCGCTGGGAGAGAAAAACCCCTCAAAATCATGAGAGGAAAAGCAACAGAGACAACACTGAAAACTGTCAGTCAATCAGCTCTCAGTCAAAAGTCTCAAACAATGACAGATGTAACAAAATACAAATCTCTTAAAAGTCCATTCAGAGTCCCGTGTGAGGCTTCCACCACCCGTGCACGCCATGCCAAAGTCTCCCTTCTGACGTGATCGCTTATCTCCTCCACACTTACCAGTTGAACAGGGGCCAAACTCTCACAAATCCCTGCTAACTTGATGACGTCACGCCTGCTGCTGCTGCTTCACACAAATTCTTCAACTTTTCTTGCTGACACAGATTTTTTTTCTCCCCCCCCTCTTCCCACTCCTCTTGCAATCAAGTTCCAGCATGCTAATCCTCATCTAATCTGACGTGTGCTGACGGATTGCCACTCTCGCTTTTCTGCATGATCAGATTGGATGGGGAAAGGTTGGGCTTGTGTGATGCTCATATAGGTGATTGGAAGTAATGCAAATGAATGAGTCTATAGAGAAGCTTATTTAGAAGACAAAGGGACATTAGCGAGCAGAAATACATTAATATCATAAGATTTTTAACAGGTTTTGTTCATTTTAGGCCGCAATTTAGGTCTAAAAAGGCTTCGTAATAGATAACATTGACTATAGTGGCATTTCAGTCCCAAGCATTGTAACAAAATATGAAGCAACCAAAGTCTAATTCTTTCAAATGATAGATACTGAGCAGTGGGCTGAGATTTGGGTCGGTGAAAAGTGACATTTTGAAGTACAAACATGCATCAATTAACTGCATCAATTTGAAAACTAATTTTAGTACTAATTATGTGCTCTGTAAGTTGCAAAAAATGGGCGGAGAAGAGGACAGAGTTGATGTCATCCTTGGTGTTTTGCTTTAGCAGAATCCAAATAAATTGTGCGCTCGGATCATGTACACCATCCAGGAAACTAGAGCCAACATTTTCACATGAATTTGGGAGATAATCACTTAATTTGAAGGGACGATAAGACGGCGATGCTGCACTATTGGACAGATGGAAGCTAGAAGTTTCCTAGATCAAAACTAGATTTTTTTGACCATTTAAAAAAATAATTTTATGTCAAGCATGAAACCCCAACTTTCGAAATCCCAAAATGGTGGGAGTGCAATGCGTGGTTACAGAGGAAGACTTTTTAATCAAAGTAAAACCAAGCGTACATCAACAGAGTAACTGGAGACAACTAGCTGCAAGGCGGCTTTTGGCAACTGAGAGTAGATGATGGAGACGATCAGTTGCCGAAATCGGTCGATGTGAGCGCTCTTACAACTGGAGATAAACAGTCGATCTCCGGATTCAGTCAGCTGTCCCTGTTCTACTTTTCGGCAACTAGTTGTCCTCAGATCCGGAGATATCACTCGATGTGCGCGCTCCAACAACATGTGTTGGGAGTGTTATCATGTGACGTAGGCGCGCCCTCTACAGTTTATGTCAGAAAACACGCTGTAGTTGAGGCCAGTTGTTGTCGATGTTCACGCTGTTATTCCCGAGACTGGCCTGCTACTAGGAGTTGCCCGTTTTCGCCGCATTGTCGATGTGTGCGGGGCAGCAACTCATATGCGACGGATATAATCAGTTGCCAGTCCTAAGTACGCTAGGCATAAAACCAAAGCGAGTAGGAGGAAAACGAGGACATGAGCACTTCCCTATAAATCATCAGCATATTATACCAAATCAGGTGTTTTAAAAAAAATCTTATCTCTTCATGTTTGATGTTTCAATCATGCTTGAGTCAACCATGATTGAGGTTGAGGTATTGTAAAGACGTTCAAAGTCTAAATTATAGTACAAATAATAACTGCACCGTGTCAAGTCAGAGATAGCCAAAATTCTTGGATCTAAAAATTGAATGTCTTTCAAAAAACTTGGGTTGGCAGCATGGAGAGACGCTGTGTCCAAGTTTTTGACAAAGACATTGCATGTTTAAAGAGGCAAATTTAAGCTAATTCAATACAGGCTTCTTCCTTCCTCTCTATAAGTAACAAAAACACTGCTTTGGCTCAATCTGTGACAAAACCTCAGACCTGTGTTTTTGTTTCCACAGCAGTTTTTGCAAAAAGGCCAGAGAAGACAGAAGGCAGATTGGGAGAATGGTGGAGGACAGTAGTCAGCCAGTAAAAAAAGAGTCAATGGAAGACGTCACATGGACAAAGCTTTGAGAAGGAGGAGTTTGTAGGTGTGGACAGGAGTGGACAAAGACAAGAAACACAAGAAGTAACACAATGTGAGTTCAATGTGACACACACAGGCAGAAGGTCTGTGCCAAAAGTTCAACAAGGTCAATCAACAAACAATGCAGATTATCTTTCAGTGCGTGTCTGTTGCGTTTTCTGCAGTGCTGGAGCAGAACTGTGGGTTGTGAGGCGCTTTGTGTCGCCTTGTGTAGAAAAGGTACTCTCAAAAGTCAAAAAAATATGTGTGATATACATGTGTTCTTTCTCAGAGTTGGTACATGTTAGACCAAGCTGCAATGTCACTACACAGTCACTCTAATTCCCCATATCTCCGCTTGCATACAGAAGTTTGCATAGCTAAGCCTCGCCACTGGCATTTACATTGAGGCCATAAATGAATCAAATACTAGACAAAAAAAGCCTAACCTGTACCTTTAGCAATCACACAACATTCCCAGTTCCCAAAGACATATCTTATTATCACCCTTATGAATTTAGATATAATATTAAATACAAAATAATAAAAAAATAAAAATAATTTTGTTGGATCTCTCTTCATAGATCATAACACAATTGCACACAACTTTGTATGTTATTGTGGGTTTCCATTAAGTAGCAGCCACCAGCACGTACAGTATAGACTAATTCTTCAGTTCAACAGGATTAACACCAACAGGATTAATGTATGGATCAAATGCAAAGAGCAGATTTTAAAACCAACCAGTGTGACCTGAGAATAGTCTACTACTCCTTTAATTTGTTCTATTACCAAGTGGACAAAGGAATGCCACAGGGCTCTATGCTCAGGACACTATTTCAAAAGATTGTGAAATGGCTCATCCTTGCTTTTTAACCTCAACAATTTGCATACATTTTACTGCAATTATGGAATCACAGAATAGATAACACATTTCACCCCTTATTAACTTTTCTGTTTCTCCTCTGCACGTCAGAGATTTCACATATATATGTTCCAAGTTTTGCGTTTCCACAAGGGTCAGTATAGGACTCCCCTGGGTAAAACTGCTGATAAAATATATATATTTTTTTCACATGAAAAAACATTATACGTAGTTTAGCCTGAGATAGCAAAGACGTAGCAGTGTTGTAACATAGTTTCGAGTTTATAACCATGATACAATACTGTTCCCTCTTTTGCCACAAAGCTATGTTTGATGATGATAATGTCTTTTCTCATTTCTACCACTGGATGGAGGTGTTTAACAACTTTAGATCATAATTAAACCTTCATCCATGGATTTCCTACTTGCATTATTTCACATTGTAAAACATGAAATGTCAACAAAGTCAAAGGGCCCAACAGAATGCATAATGGAAAGAGAGAGCATCGGGAAAGGAACTCTCCCTCTCCTTGAAGCGGACTGAACTCAGACAAACCTCCTGATCGACTTCAAAACACTTACCCCATTGGTCTGAATTGTGGTGCTAAAAATGTTTCCCAGCACATGAAATACATAAAGGAGCAGATATGTTAACACCACACAGACTAACCTATTTTGAATCCCTACGTTCTCGGAAACCTAATTTAGATTGATCCTTTATGTAGCTTTTGACATCTTGCAGCAGTTTACACTGAATAGACCTCTCAGCTCACATGCTAAGGCATGCCACAAGGGTCAGTCCTAGTGCCGCACAATTAAATCCTTACTTTGAACCACTGTGAAAGGTAGATGAGTCTTTCAGCAATTTTAAACATCACAGAATAAATAATATGTTGCGCAGTGCCTCTATAATAAAGCATGTCCTCTCGTCTTTGATCAGAAGCAGAAAATCAACTCCGGGTGGATTTTCCCAGGCCCCTTGTCTACGTCTTAAGTGACCGTCCCCTCGACATAGCCAACACGGAGCCTACTGTATGCCATTACGGGACAAGCACCTATAATCTGGGCCTGTGTTTCATGTCAATTGGAGAGATACCCTGCAGGCAAGACCCGACCTGCCGATGTAGGCGGATGACAGAGCTGACAGGTACTCTTCATGGGGGCCCACTGACAGAGAGGTCGTGGGGTCAGAGCAAGAGGGCAGAGGAGTCGTGTGCCGGGGTAATGACAGGTGTCGGCCGATGGCTCACCCTTGACCCCGCCAAGTGAACGTTTATGACAAAGTGTGATAATATGTCCAAGAAGCAGCGATAACGCAACTGTTTTTGACGTTTGAAGGGGGCTAAGCGTACAGGTATGTGCTGAGAGCAGGACAGGTTTGGTTTGCACAAGGATGAGTGATGGATGATGGAAGCACTAATGATAACAGCATTCAAATCTATAGTTAATGACCCCAGGATATTTACATTTCAACGAGAGTGTCAGGAAAAACAACTACATTTTCTGGACCTGGATTTAGAACAAACAGCATTCATTCACACCAATGATAACACACCTGTCGGGTGTACTGTGGTACATGGATTGCATCTTAATTATCTCACTGTGAATGTGGAAAAACCTCTTCATTCTTGGAAGTGCATCGTCTCCAGAATACTGGTCAGAACAAAGGCCTGACATATGAGATGAGAGGCTTTGTGTTGATATGGCACAGGACAATGAGGTGTACGTGTGCTTCCATTTCAAAGGTAGAAACTCAGAATATGCAAGTAATATCTCATGCAACAGAAATATCTAGCTCTTCTGGAGAGGACACCCTGTGACTTTAGTACGGGCAAAATGAACTGTTTTCAACGGTCAAAGTCATGATTCCACTGAGTCACTATAATTGAAAGTAGAAGTTCTGTCCTGCCTGCTGTGCTGACCATGGGGGCCAGTGGTGCACGTGAAGGGTCCTGTCTCACCTTTGGCCCCGTACCGCTGCTTGTACAGCTTCTCGTTGGCGCACACGCCGCGGCCGTGCAGCAGTGCATGCAGAGGCTTCTCCTCTCCGTTCTTGGGCAGACAGCGGAGCCCACGCGTGCACGGTCCCGTGTACACGCCGCACGCCTGGCCCTCCTCGAGCGCGCACGTCAGACAGCAGCCGCAGCCCGGCTCCTTGACCAGCTGACAGCCCACGGGCACTGGCGGACACAGAGACAGCGCTTTCTGGTCGCACGGTTCGCACGGCACGTAGGACGCTCCGCAGGCTGCGGCCAACAGCAGAAGCACGCACGCGCACAGCAGCATTGTATGAAACGAGTCAATATTTATCCTTCTGCAGCCACAGCAGTATTACAGCACTATATATCTATATCTCTGTAGCTCTGTAGGGACAATCCTGTGGGATGCGTAAAGCTCTGGTCAGTCCCTCTGGAGTCCTCTGCACATCAGCCGCAGGTTCAGCAGCATCCACAGGTGTCACACAGATCCTCCAGCTCCTGTTGAGGCTCGGGTCTTTGCTCAGTGCTCCGTGAGGGACGTGCTCGCAGCGTGGCTGTGTTCGTGTGAGCGTGGAGTGTGGAGTGAACGCAGTGGCTTTGAGCTTGTCTTTAAAAAAAGAAAGTGCCAGAGGCGCAGCCCGGAACGCTGGCTCTCTCTCAGACGCAGGAGGAGGCAGGGGGAGGAGGGGAGGAGGGGGAGGGGCACGGGGAGAGATGCGCACGGGGCGGGTGCTGGCATGCCTCCAGAGCCGCCTCAGGTCTGACACACACCATCCCAGTCCGGACGGGAGCTCTCAGAGCGCTGGTGTGGGACAGGGTCAGCTCAGGGATGTGCCCCGCTTATGTAGTTCACGTTTGGTTTACACCGGATTGTTACTGAAATAAGTCACACCCGTATATCTATGTCTCAGGTTCTATGGTTTGTCATCTGCATTCAATTTTGTGAACACATAACCTCACTTCTTCATATAGTCTTCAGCAGTAGACTTTTTCAAGTAGTTCACATTTGTGGGTCGGACTGTTTGCAAATCCTGTATGGATATGGCGACAGTAGACCTGATCCCTGTTTGTTTCCACTCTGTTTCACTTCACTTATGTGTTTGTCAAGAAGATGATGAAGTTGACACAATAAAGTATAGCCAAAATATTGATTTAGGAGTTGATCAATCAATTGTAAGCTGACCTGCCTTATAAATATGTAGTTCTTCCGATATTCAGACTTGATGTAACTGTCTTGAATTACTTCTAGCCTTACTAAAAGTGCTGTTTCGGAGTTTTTAATTGCTTATTATTTCCAGGTGTTTACTGTATTCCTTGTGATGAAGAGCGCAACAATGTATGGCCTGCAGGTACATTTACAGCTGCAGTTAACGATAGGCATTGGCACTTTTGCAGAGTTGCGTTGGTTTACTGTACATTATTCATTATTCACTCAATTAAACAACTGTAACCAAAGCTGCCCTGGGGCTGACTGACGTAAGCTGCGACACTCTGCACCGGCGGTTCAATACATTGTCTGAACACGTCTCGTCACACTGTAAACTCTTATAAAGTAGTTTGTTTGGAAATGTTTCTATTTACCCACGCAGATGATAAACTTGGCGTGTGAGATCAATAAACTCCATCTTATCTTAGTCCATTAAAGCGATTCCCTGTCTCTTGAGTGCACTGGGTCCCATATCAATCAACTTGGACTCTGAGGAGCACAGGGACTGGACTCCTGCTGGTGCCCAGAGTCAGAACTAAAGTAAGCATTTCAGATCCTTCGTGAAAATGTGAGACAGGCAATGTTCAATCCAGGGTAAAACAGTTCTGCGTTACTCTCTCTAAATTACTGTGAATATTTATGAATGTATTGTCTTTTGTGAATGTTTCTTACCTGTTTTGTTCAGCACTTTGAGTTGCCTTGTGTATGAATTGCGCAATACAAATAAACTTGCTTTGCCTTGCTACTGCGCTGTGACTTTAAAAGACTGATTATGAAAGTTGGAATGTTGTTCTTAATGTTTTATATCGTCTTCCCCATAGTGAAAATCAGACACGGCTTCAAACAACGCTCCGACTCTTCCCACTGCTGTCCTTGGTCGACACGGCATTACAACAGGTAGAGCCGTAGTGAGAAAAAAGCCTTATGTGATCAGCAATCTCCCATCCATGTCCAAACCAGGCCCGGCCCTCCTTAGCTTCTGAGAGCACGATAGATCAAAAACTGGTGCAGCATTTCAGTGGTCACACATTATTGTCAAAGTCCATTCTTCATAGATCTCTCAAGCTACGTAAAACTCTCTAGCTAATGTATGTTGTGTCCTTGGGCAAGACACTTTCTAATGCGACTCTAGTGATCCAGGGCAGATGTGGCCGATTGATCATTGAGGCAAGTTTATTTGTATAGGCAAGTCAAAGCGGGTAACAAAACAAGGCATTCAAATCAAGTAATCACAGTACAATAAAAAGAGTAGATACAATCCTTCAATTATATGCACGAACAGAGCCAAGTTTATCCCAGATTTAACTCTGTCAGAGTGGAAGCCTGTCTCTCTCACATTTTCAGGAAGACTGTTCCAGATTATAGCTGCATACATTTGAAACGTCTCATGTTTGGCTCTGACTCTGGGCACAAGCAGGAGGCCAGTCCCTGTGCTCCTCGGAGTCCAAGCAGGAGGCCAGTCTGCTTTGTACCTCAGAGTTTGCGTACAAAGCATAATAAATGTGTTCCTATGTATGCAAAAAAAAAAAAAAAAAGTATGATTTATGTTTATGCCACCTCATACCAGACCATTCATTGTCCTGCTCCACCCAGAGGCTACTCCACCTCTGCTGCTGTGACCCGTGCTGCTCCATCCAGAGGCTACTCCACCTCTGCTGCTGTGACCCGTCCTGCTCCACCCAGAGGCTACTCCATCTGTGCTGCTGTGACCCGTCCTGCTCCACGACAGGACGGGCTACTCGATCTAAGATGCTGTGACCTAAAGGGCTGTTGCTGATTATTACTCTTATGTTTTTGGAATGGGTTCATGGGAGGGTTCATGGGAGTTCGCCCAACCTGTCCACATGTGCTTTGTGGATTTGGAGAAGGCGTTCGACTGTGTTCCCCGGGGTGTCCTTTGGGGGGTTCTCCGGGAGTACGGGGTCGGGGGTCCTCTGCTGAGGGCCATCCGGTCCCTGTATGACCGGAGCCAGAGCTGTGTTCGCATTGCCAGCAGTAAGTCAGACCTGTTCCCGGTGAATGTTGGCCTCCGACAGGGCTGCCCTTTGTCACCGGTTCTGTTCACTGTATTTATGGACAGAATATCTAGGCGCAGCCAGGGGTCGGAGGGGGTCCGGTTCGGGGACCACAGGATTTCATCTCTGCTGTTTGCGGACGATGTTGTCCTGTTGGCTCCAACGAACCAGGACCTGCAGCATGCACTGGGACGGTTTGCAGCCGAGTGTGAAGCGGCTGGGATGAGAATCAGCACCTCCAAATCTGAGGCCATGGTGCTCGACCGGAAAAAGGTGCCCTGCCCTCTTCAGGTGGGTGGAGAGGTCCTTCCTCAAGTGGAGGAGTTCAAGTATCTCGGGGTCTTGTTCACGAGTGAGGGAAGAATGGAGCGTGAGATTGACAGGCGGATCGGTGCAGCGTGCGCAGTGATGCGGTCGCTGTATCGGACCGTTGTGGTAAAGAGGGAGCTGAGCCGAAAGGCAAAGCTCTCGATTTACCGGTCAATCTTCGTTCCCTCCCTCACCTATGGTCATGAGCTTTGGGTAATGACCGAAAGAACGAGATCGCGGATACAAGCGGTCGAAATGAGCTTCCTCCGCAGAGTGGCTGGGCGCTCCCTTAGAGATAGGGTGAGGAGCTCAGTCACACGGGAGGAGCTCGGAGTAGAGCCACTGCTTCTCCACGTCGAGAGGAACCAGTTGAGGTGGCTCGGGCATCTGTTCCGGATGCCTCCTGGACGCCTCCCTGGGGAGGTGTTCCGGGCACGTCCCACCGGGAGGAGGCCCCGCGGAAGAACTAGGACACGCTGGAGGGACTATGTCTCTCAGCTGGCCTGGGAACGCCTTGGGGTCCCCCCGGACGAGCTGGAGGAAGTGTGTGTGGATAGGGAAGTCTGGGCGTCTCTGCTTAGACTGCTGCCCCCGCGACCCGGCAACGGATAAAGCGGAAGAAAATGGATGGATGGATGGATGGATGTTTTTGGAATGATCAATTTTATTTTTACTGCTACTGGACAAATGAATTTCTCCTACGGGGATCAATAAAGTCTCTATCTATCAATCTACCAACTGTATCTATCTAAAGTCAAAAACCACATGGGCACACTTTAGGAAACCCCCTCGTCCCATCTGCCTGCTCTTATCCGTGACTGATCTTAAAACACTGTTGTCCCAGCATCCAAATTCCACCAAAAAAAACACACCACCCACCAATATTTACATCTGCGCCTTTTCCTGTAAACTCCTATCTTTCCCACGCTAATTCACTCGGCTCGTTTCTCTGGGCTTTCCGTGACACAGCAGGTGTTGCCCTCGCCACCGAAATTAGTACAGGCTGCATACCGCAAATCAGCACGCGGCAACAATTCTGGACCCTGTTTGATAACGTGAAAGATGTCCCGAGAATGGATGGCTCTGTCAGCACATCTGTGAGGCTTTGGCAACACCACAACATGAAAGTAAGTCACAGTCAGAGCAAGATGTTTAGATCAATCTGTGGGATGAATGAAAAACATGTGAAAGTGAGTGGTGGGAGAGAGGTGTAGGGTCGGAGAGTTTTAATGGGCATAAATATTGTATGTAGTAAGTAAGTATAAGTAATCGTTATTTATATAGCGTATTTCTACAGACCGAGGTCACTCAAAGCGCTTCACAATGTTCAGATATTGTTCCATTCTCTCCACACGACGATGACAGAAGCGAGACACCGAACACACAAAGCCTCCGACCAAACACCTTCCATTCACTTACTCATTACATTCATACTTTTTGTCCATGCTTTTAGTGGTAGGGGGAACCGGAGCACCCAGAGGAAACCTACGCAGACACAGAGAGAACATCCAAACTACACTCAGAAAGGCCCTGTTCCGACCGGGATTCGAACCCAGGACTATCCAGTGCTATCCACTCTGCCACCGTATCGCCCAAACTAAACAAATACAAATAGGGCTGGGCAACTTTCAGAGCCGACTGACACGCCAAGACACAAATCCACCGCTTTTTAACGACACTATTGATGCATTTTATTTCACTTATTAAAAATGAATTGGTGTTGAAGTCCAAATATATATGTAAATCTAAAATAAATAAAAAATCTATTACTATATAAACAACAATGTGTATTCTAATTTAATAGTGTTGATATCCATCTAAAATGATTGATGATTTTTTTTTTACCCCCGATTGTAGCTTGTTTGCATGTGCATATAAACATTTAATTTCTTTTTAATTGTTTAGTTTGGATGGAGCTGTGCGTATTAATGAACTCCAGTAACGGTAAATTCAACAGATTGAAGCCTTTTGTAGATTTTTCTGTCGTCCCATCGTTCACGAACATAAAATCGTTCAACCCTCACCTATGGCACATGTTTTTAACGGTAGCGGAAACCGTAGCACCCAGAGGAAACCTATGCAGACACGGGGAGAACATGCAAACTACACCCAGAAAGGCCCAATCTTGAGGTGCAATCAAATCCAGGACCTTCTTTATACATTTCTTGTAATTTTCCTACTTTATTTCATCTTTCTCTATTCTGCCATGCTAATAATTTGTTTTTATTA